CTGTCCCGGGGAGAAAATTCAGTTTCCTAAAATTCCACGAGGCGCCTTCCGAGCCAAGGAAATTGTCCTCCTCTTTCAACTCCCGAGGAACGTAAACAAGGAAAATTCCGGGTTGGTTCGTGAACGGTGCAGGGTCGACGAATTGAGACGACTCGGTCGACGACGACGGCACGAACGGAAATCGTAACGCGGAAAACGTGGCCGTCGGCGAAACTGTTCCACATCCATTCCGGCTGTTTTATTCTCCGAATAACGTCTATCGATTGACACACATTCCTTTCCTTTCCTTTTCCGACGACCACGTGGCGTGTGGGCGAACAGCTTTCCACAGGCCTCGGAGACCCTCCTGCCCCTTCCCACCACCCCCATTCCACGATTGATCCTTTACTCGCGAGATTGAATTTCGTCGGGTTTACGCGACGACATTTAAATGCTTGGATACGTAAGTACCGTGCACACATGGGTTTCATGGGTGGTAATTTAAACGGGGACTGCATCTCTGAGTTGAACAGAAAATTTGTGACAGGCTGAAGTATAGTAGAGGCCAGGATATAGCGAGGGGTCGTAAAGTGATGTGTCGAGCTGCGGTATTTAGGAGCTGTATCCTGCGATCTGTTGCAGGGTTATGTACAATATGAATGATGATTTATGAGTAAGAGTGTTTCACTTGTAAGCAGAAAAAGTGGAAATATTAATTACTATTTGGAATATTTGGAATACACTAAATCATCGATGAGTGTTCGAAGACTCTTCGGCACTGAGTGTTCAGACATCATCCCCCAAACAAAAGTAAGAGGGGGAGGGGAAATAAATTATGCTATTGGCATAATGTGCTAATGCATAAATAGCTAAGCAAATGGTGGGACAGTTTTTAACCCACCTAACCCTAAAGAGTTAAAGCTTGTAAGTGGAAGGTATCTGTCGCAGCTGCAAAGACAGCAATGGTTAAGTCTCCGTTCAGATCTCTTCTTCCTTTCTGAGTATGTTTTAGAATGTATTTCCTTGATAAATGTCAGTTTTTATACGAACTAACTTCAATTATAGTTTCGTTACGCTGAAGATCCGTTCGAAGACATAGTTGACCCCTTTTCCGCTTTGACGCGATAGCGTTCGGGTAATTAAAGGGTCTAAGAGCATGGAGCAACCCCAGAATTCAGCGGACCCTTTCATTATATCCGGGTGACATGCAGCGACGCGGCCACTTCGCATTTCCACGACGAAAGTATTTCACCGTCACGCCGCGTAATTCCTCGGTCCTCTTGTAATCTTCCCCCGGCAAATATGGTTCATCTTCGTGCAATCACTTTTTAAGTAGAAACTACGCCCGTAGTGTGCCGGAGAGAGCAAAGTTTTTTCGCCATGAGTAAGAGGAACGGCGTTAAACCAAGCTTCTTCGGGAGGATGAGAGCGATTTGTCATCGGTGCAGTTTGTAACGGAAGTCTGTCGAGGTGAGAACAGGTCGTTCGGTCAAACGACACGTTTGTTTCTTGGTTGTTGTTAGAAAGAGGCTCAAGGGATAGAGTTTTATGATCATCGCGATTTTTTTGCAAGCTCGAATTAAGATTTTTCGTGGCCCAGGGTTATGAAACTTTCGAGGGATTTCTTGGATGAAATTATATTCATTTTATTGTGATGAAACATGTAGTAAAATACATAAATATTCAAAAATTGAAATTTATTCTAAATAAAATTAAACTTAGATTTTTAGTCAGAAAGTTTCGTAAGTGGATATCCAAGACGAGTTTCCTTTTCTCCATCAAAGACTTTATTAACCCTTTCGGAACTAGCACCGGTTATATCCGGCTTCCACTAAATGCTTCACACTGGCTAGTGCCGGTTATATCCGGCATTCACTAAATGCTTCACACTGGCTAGTGCCGGCAGCGTTGCCGGGAAATGTGTTACCGTATGGCGGTATCTATTTATCATATATCATATATCTATGTATCAACGAAATCCTATAAAATTTTACACGGACACATTGGGAGCTCCAAAAATGCGAGACACTCTATGATGTGCACTAATGGCACGACGACCCGTTCCCAGCGGCGCACCGCCCCCCAGCCTCGCCGTCGCGAAAGGGTTAAAATTGGCAAAGCCTGAGAATTTTGTAAAACTTTATTGGAATATTTATTCTTAATTTTATTCCAGTTTTTCACTTGAGCCACAAATGCATAAAATTCACAGTGTAGTGATTATCTTCTAAAAAAAGTATTAAAGTGTTTAGAGTAAGTGTTAGTGTTTGACTCAAAATTTATTTATATTTATCAACGATAATTAAGGAACACAACACTTTTTATGAACGACATATCTTTTACTCGTATTTCTACATACTGAAAATATATTTTATATATTTCTTTATATTTTTCGGAGTAAATAATACATGTCTCTTCCATTTTATTTGAATATTCGCATATGCATGCGATAAAAGAAAGTAACATTTTTTAAGTTCTTAACATTTTCTCTGTAAATGTATCTCTTTCTGTATTTCTTTATTTTATTTAAATTATTCCATGAAATTCTCGATAATGTCTATCGATTTTTTGCTCCAAGTTTTGAATTTCGAACAGTTTCCACAGACTTCGATATGCTCCCTTAAAAATTCTATTTCCGAAACGATAAATTTTTCATTAATATTGTAGCTGTACTTTCTTCGCTTCGAAGTTATACGCGATATCTTTCTTGCGGCAGAAGAGAAAACGAATTGGTTTCTTCGAAATCCTATTTCCGGAAAGTCCCCAGAGCTTCAACTTGTCATGTTGCAGAAATTATTTCGTGGCTGTTGCGTCGTCGAAGTCGAGTATACGAATGTTTAACACTGTTTGCGTTGCTATTCTCGAGGACGCATCAATACACCTATGTTTGCTTATTTTTAAAACAGAAACATGTGCTTTCCTCTATCTGACGATAAATATTTTTAGGATCACTATTGATCAACTTGATTTTCTTCTGGACAGAAATTCTCTAGTTTATTATTGAAACAGCAGTTAAATAATCTCTTAGGAAGTCTGAAAAACATTGTCCGGATAATAGAACGTTCCGATGAAATAATGTTCACAGAGCGTACGGATAATGGCCGTGACGATAATCGAGGTTCTACTGTACATTTGATTCCCTTGAAAGTCTTTCGGTGTTCACGTTTGTAAAACGAACGAAACGGCGAAGGAATATTTATTTCCAGGGTGTTAGAAATTGTCTAGGCTTTCCTTGGACAATTTTAATATTGAAGATATTAAAGTTCATGGTTGACAGGATCCCCGTGATGGGTGAAACGGCTTTTCCTGTTCGAACTGTCTGCCGGATTGCATCTCGGGGGACAAAGTGTTTGCAGCCCTGCAAATCCGATGCAATTGCCGCTGCACCGGTTCTAGCCTCTTTAATCACCTCGCTCGCTCCCTGAGCATATGGAATTCGGTGATTAATATTTCTTGGTAGGCATTGTTTGGCTTCCTCGACTTTGATAAAGTGCTACCAGCGTACACGTTTCCGAGGAATTCCTATATGCAACGTATCCAGGTCGATTTTATAAATCCTTTGGTCTCTAGGCAAGAAAATGACGATCCAGAACTGTATATTAGGTCCTTGGTTAGGGTTTCGTCTACTGCTGCTATTTTAATTATGAAGATGGTATATTGTGTACGTGATTTTTAGAAGTATTTGATATATGGTATACTGTAGTATTTACTGAAAAAGGACGTAGTTATATATAATCCAGTTGTAATTCGTTGTATGTGGTCCAGAACCACAGATCATTTGTCTTTAGGTATAGCTTTTTTTTTCCAACTAGTGAAGAGTTACATAAATTTGATACTTGTTCCTAGTTGGCAAAAGAATATCGAAAAAATCAATCATAAAATTGAATTATTGAGGAAAATGTAAATCTACCTTTCTTGGCTGTCTTCTATAATTTCACTTTTAGTTAACATTCTTGGTTTTCGAGACTAGTTTCACTAATGGTAGCATTGCTATTAATGTTCGATTAGATTAGATTGATACCGTGTTGGAATAAATCGACTTGACCCACACAAGTCGATCAAATAATTCCTGAACAAATAGCATTATCCAGATTTCCGCGAACAAACGCAAGAACCAGCCCTCCCAATAATCTATCGATTGCCTGTATCTCTGAATTACAGGGGCTGCGTCGAATGAGAAGCAAGCGGGATTAGGCTAATGCCTTCGATAGCTTTTGTTTAAACCGATAAACAACCCAACCCCAACGCAGAGGCGAGACTCTAATTTTGTACAGTGTAACCGTACCATTATCGTCATTGATTACTAGATACTGATGAAATATGATGAGAAAAGAGACATTACATTTATTAACAAGAAACTTTCTAACGTGAGACACTATTGATCCCAAAGGACTTCAACAATGGGCACTCGACGACCATCGACTACAGACAGAATCACTCAGTCAACGATCAGGAACTTCAACCATGTCGTCAATCGCAAGAAGACACCTGGCCATCAAAGAAGGTCCCACCTGAGGGCCGAAGAAGACCACTTTCTTTCCGTCAAAGAGTATCCCGAGTAATCTTAAAAATCTTCTTGATCAGAACTCAGATCAATCCAGCTTAAGCATACTCTACTACCAAAATCATTAGATAAACAAAGAGTACCCAGAATCTCCAAACACCATAGGTGTCCAAAAATAGCCAAGCAGAGGATTATTCAGGAGTCCAGCCAAGTCTATCTCGACGGTCTGTCTGTTATCTACAGCAATATTCAACGAGCACCCAGGACTCTCTGTCATCTATAACAATAACCAAATAGTACCCAGGATCTACAAAGACCGTAAGTGTACAAGAGTGGTCAAGCAGGGGATCATTCAAGAGTCCAGCCAAGACCCTCTGTCCCGACACTCCCTGTTACCTATACCATCGACTCCCGAAAGCGTCAACGGTAACCGGATGAATCGTGACCATCATGGCCAAGGATATCCCGCAGCCATGACATCGTAAACCACTCGGGGATCATCCTAGACTCAGGGTCCACCATGTTGAACGTAATGGCAGCGGTGACGACCAGCCTGCCGAATCGAGTAGATCCGACGCCGACTACATCGAGCAACGCGAGCACATCGTCCAGCACCGCGGCGAACAACGTGACCTCGGTCCCCGTCGAGAATCCGACCGTCGAGAATCTGCCGGAGAACGTGAACGTGTTTGTGGTGGTGATCAAGGGTATAATCATGGGCAGCATAATCACGACCGCTGTGCTCGGGAACGCGTTGGTGATCGCCAGCGTGCGAAGGCACAGACGGTTACGTGTGGTGACGAACTGTTACGTGGTCAGTTTGGCGGCGGCCGATCTCTTGGTGGCGATGTGCGCGATGACGTTCAACGCGTCCGCTGAACTGTCCGGCGGCAAATGGCTGTTCGGCCGGTTCATGTGCGACGTTTGGAACTCCCTGGACGTTTACTTCTCCACCGCCTCGATACTGCATCTGTGCTGCATCAGCGTCGACAGGTACTACGCGATCGTCAGCCCGCTGGAGTACACGGTCATCATGAGACAGGGCACCGTTGGATGCATGCTGGGCAGCGCTTGGGTGCTACCGGCGCTGATCAGCTTTATACCGATATTCATGGGCTGGTACACCACGCAGCATCATTTGGACTATATGCTGAAGAATCCTGACGTGAGTATCTGTGTTGCTTGTTCCCTCATTGTCATCGGGTTAGGGTAGATACCCCTATAACTGTCACCTCAAAAATTAATGTAATTCTTATATACTTTAACAATTCATTTTGTACGTAGGTTGAATAGTAAAATTGCAACTGTTTCTTTAGTGTGATTTCGCCATCACTTTCGTTTTACTTATGTCATTTACGCCATTACTTACGTAGTCGTATTTTTAACGCTCACATTGCACTTTCATTTTTCAACATTAGTTTTTGGATACCAGGTACATACAACTACATGTATTTCCTTGTTTTTATGTAAATCAGAGCTCCAATTTAATAAGAAAAGTTTTTGTTCACAATTCTTTGTAGGCTACATTTTTATTAAGTAAAATAAATATAGTGATAGTAATTGGGACATTTACCCTATAAGGAGCAATAGACGGGATTCAGTGAATGTCTTAGCTCGGTAGTTTCTCTTTGTGCTGTACTCTACGTATCTACATTTACTATTATACTTTAACTATACGTTGCAACTATATACAGCCAGCCAAAACAGATCATTTTTTTTAAGAATGGGCCAAGTGACTTGAATTTTTGTTTGACGTTAAAAGAAATAGTTTACTAAATGATGTGTAAACAAAATTTTGAAGTTCTGTTTTATAGGGTGTGCGGATACTTTCTTTCCCCACTGTATATTAAGTTAATGCGTAAGAAATTACGTTTTTCCGGGGTTCGAATTCACCGGGTTAATAACACCTATTAAATTTTATCCGATCTTCTTTTGTTTCAAACTATATTGAAAAAGAGGAGATACGCTTTAATGTATGCGTTGAAGGTTCCTCGTTTAATTTACTAACAGTTAAAATTTGGGGTCAGAAATGCCTGAAACCCAGGCAATCTGTATACAAGCGATCAGCGTAGGTCACGGTAGTTACGACGCGAACAATGGCGCCATGTGAAAAAAATACACCCATGCTTCTAAGTCGAATATGTGTTATGTACCTTTCCCTTTGTACAATCCTACTACCTGGAGGTTATTTGGGAGCATTGGCGACCCTGTCGTAGAACAAATAGTATTATCTCCACTCACAGTATACACATTTTTTTTTTTTATGACAACACAGTTAAGGTGTAACACATGAGTTTTACCGGACAACATCATGTGGTCTGTAATAGTCCGCATAATGCGCTGGTTTTTTCCTGGGAAGCATCAGACTACCCGTTTTTCTTGTTCTCCTGTCCTTTTGCATGGGATTCAGGTAAAGTTTCTCCAGTTCAACGGGAGTCGTCAACGTGAACACATCTAGTCTGTAGAGAATATTCCTCTTCTTTATAGTATCAATATAATGTAGTTCAGTCCAAGTAATTTTATTCAGTGTTTATTCTGTGTGTGTGCATCAAGGAACGAACTAAACGACGATTCGTGAGTGTATTTTTTTTCATTCTATAAGTCCTAATTGAAAATTATTCTTAGTATAATCGTTCATGCATTTCCTGAATCGACGTGGACATTGGCTACCTCTGTGAGTCCCGAACGTTACAACGTCAAAGCGGTAACAGCGTCGAAAAGTAATTCTGTCGAATTGTGATAAGTCATTCCTGCCCGGGCGAGGCGAGTACCGAATTGTGAATGTCGATGATAATTCCTCGGGGGATAAGAGGATTTGCACAAGGGTCTTCAGGCGATTTGCATACGCACGCGTTACGGGCAAATCGACCAATCGTGTCCTCCGCGTCCCTTGGTCCCCTTCCGCGTAACTTGCACTATTGTTTCCCCGATTGGCTAATTTGGTTATGCATGGCGGGACCGATGCATCATGGGAACACCGACCCCGTTGCGCGTTCGTGGCGCCGTTATAAATCGCGAAGTAACGGTCATTTAGCACGGGAGAATTGAATTTCCATCATGAAACATCGATTGTTCCATATTCATACGACTGCAAATACGTCTAGGTGTACGGGGTGCCACTTAGGTTTCTCTTTTTTACTATTCGGTACGTGAAATGGTAATCGAAGTCGATCGTACGCTCGCTTACAGGGAGTTTTTTTTTGAGGTTATCTTTCGACTTATTCAAATCTCTGCGATCCCAGGGAAATGAAAACCAAGAGAATAGACAGTTTGTCGATTCGAAAAGAGTTCTTTTGTTGAATTGATAACTACTTCCGGCGTAGATTTCAAGGTCATTACGTAGAATCTCGTGTAAGTTATAGAATAGGAAATTGCAAAAAAAGAAGATAAAATAATATAGAAACTGGGGCGACTATTCCAAATATAATACGCTGTTGAAATTTATAAATGATAATAATAATTGTTTTCAGCATGAAAACTGTTATTGTCTTTGAGTACCCTAATACAAAGGTAATTATTGTACAGACTACAGTTGTTTCTCTTTGTTCAGTCAATCAAATGTATCGTATACTTTGGACTTGGGATACACTTTTATTAATTTTTCCATGACTTTAGTTCTTATCAAATAGCTTCTGAAATGAATATTTGCATAAACATTCATTTCGAGGAATTACCAGTAACTTTATGTAATTTCAATTTTTCTGTGTATCTTAACTGCTCCGTCGCTCGTTCTTTTTCCGTTCATCAAAATTTCCCTAGGATTCCATTCGAATTAAAGTAAAAACGCGTGCCGTGTATTAGTCGATAACAACGGAAAATGGCATTACCTAAGTAGAATTATTCATTAGCCTAATGGAACGCGATTCCTTGCTGTATCTGTACAAGATAGAAACCTCAAGTCTCCGTAGCCACTTCGTAACTTCGCTGGCCAGACAAATCCAATTTATGTGTCTTCGGCCGGTTGTAATAAAAATAAACTTGCGTGACAGGGCCCAAGCCGATGCTCAGTTTCCCGATGAAACTGGCTTAAACCGTAGCTTCGATTTTCAACGTCGACCCGATGTAAATTCTCCGATTTTTCTCCCATTTTTAAAAATTCGAAGCAATTATGGAATTTTTTTCACTTCGTTACAATATTCCGTAGTTCGTAATAGTTCACTCGTGATTAGCCTCGACGACAATGCTCCTGTATTTGTTAATTTATGTTAATTCAGGGTACCGTGAATTACACATGCCTTCATTACGGGGGATGTAACCCGAAGGCAGTTTAATGCAAATTGCGAATGGTATGATACATTGTTTCGAAATGAAGTTTACGTAAGCCCAGAGGGGGGCTTCATCTCATTATGCCCCGGTGGTTTAATAAAAATTCTGCATGCACGACAGAACTTAACGACCACTGCCAGACGAAATTGGATTAAAAATTCCACTTAGACTGTACGGAAAATCGAAGCTTAATTATGAAAGGAATTCGCATATGTATATATTAAGAATAGATCATTAAATTCGTGAGTTTTCATCTTTTTTTTAACAACTATGATTTTTTTAATATTTTCATATTTTGTATGAAATTCAATTCGTCTGAACCTACAACGCAAATTCCGTTGAGATTATGCTTAATCCGACAGTTGTTAAAAATCGGCCTGAAATTTTGTTAAATTATTATTCTGACTTAATAAGACATTTGTTTACTAGTTTTATGTTTCCTGTTTGATTGACAGTACGTTTTATCATGTAATATTATAACAGTTAAACACCAGGAATTCGGTTTATTGGTTTCCGTAAGCTACTTAAAGCAATCTCTACGCCAAACTCCAGATTACATATTGATCGTGGAAAGTACAACAACGGCTGGTAAACGCAACAAAATGAAGATTTCAAGTGTCTGTATGCGCAGAGCAATCAAGAATTTCCGAAGTTGGTTTTCATAAGCTGCTTAGGGCAACATCCCCAACCACTTGAAGTAAACTTGGTATCGAATAACATTTAGAATATGTCCATCAACAATTGCAAGGCAACATGAGATATAAAGATCCAAAGTATTTTCTAGATAATACATAGAAGGTAGTATCAAATAGGAGGATAATATAAACGGTTTAAAATTTATGAGAGGAAAAACCAAGGATATAAGTACATCTGTGAAATAGGGTTCCACGCGCACAGACTCCAGAGTATTTCAACGATTATTATCGCAATCTTTATATATTTTCTATGTTAATTAGATTAGACTTCACATTTAAGATATCAAGCAATACATACGTTTCAAAGAATTTAACGAGTATATTAATTATAGAATCAGGGTTTACATTAACGGAATCCGTCATGTATATTAGAATATTCCGAGAAACTTTCATGTACTCATTGTAGGTTTCATTATTTTGTTCAGGTTCGGTGTCCATCGTGAGGATCTTCAACTCTTTTCTAATATTTAACCCTTTAACTACAATGCACATCAAGTACATATTTACTTGTATATCAGTAACGAATCGAGAACCCTTAGACGTGTGTTTAGCCGGTCACATGGACTTAGCTTTCGCGTTATTTATATTTTTAATAATTGTTATTCACGTTTTAACATTCATTTCCACCTGACCTTATTCCCCACAATGATGATCCCTTTTGTTTCAGGTCTGTTCGTTCGTGGCGAACAGGACGTACGCGGTAATAAGCTCGTCAGTCTCATTCTGGATACCTGGCCTGGTGATGATAGTGATGTACTATAAGATTTACAAGGAAGCAGTCAGGCAAAGGAAGGCGCTCAGCAGGACATCGAGTAACATCGTTTTGAATAGCGTCCACCACCACAGGTCCTCGACCAGGCAACACCATCATCAGCAGATGCTGCTCCAAGCGGCGGCCGAAACCGGTGAGCTTGCACACTATACATTGACCATATTTCAGCTTGTTCATGGAGTTTCCTGGCTGCTCACCGCGAGCGGAACGCGTCCCCATCTAGCCTGTCTCTCTGAAAACCGATTTCTCCGGGAGCACCCACAGGTGTCCGGGGAGTATCCTTTGTCTTTTGCTCTGGACAACCAACTTGTTGAAATGGCACTAGCCTCTTTGGAGATTAAAAATGAATTGCACTCCTGGGTTGTGCTGACATTTTGGGAAACTGTGGAGACATTACTATGGTTCTTATGAAATAGGTGAAGACTGAAGGATAGAAGTTTGAGACATTTTGAGGTACTAGATCTCATTTGATCCATAAATTAAATGATATTATGGCACAGTTTCGGGAACTTGTGTTGATGTTATATTATAGAGACAGGCATATTTGCAGTGGTGTTGGTAAACTACTTTTTGCTTTCTTAACGGTTTGGCATATTATTTGCTGATGTGGATAGTCAATATAAACAAATGTTTAAATGTTGGTGTGTTAGTTAGAGAAATAAGTGTGGATCAATTGGTATACAATTTTGAAAATACTTATAGTATAATCGATTGTTGATATTAGAAATTTAATATTGATAATCTTGGGTCCCGATTCTATTAATTATGAAACAGCTAGTTCTGTAGGAACCCGATTTTTTTCGTTCTTAAACCTTTTCTGTAAGGAAAATATTGATTGAACAGTAATGATTAATTATACGCGTATCAACTCTTAGTTCTATTCCGTCGAATGATTAATTTTCGACTTCAGTAATTAACGAGAACCGGGGATTATGCGAATATTTCGCGCTGTCACGAGAAATTCGAAACGTTGGACAATTTTGATGCGAAAAACCGCGAGTGTTAATTAAAATTGATTACAAAGCCCTGCATGATAAAAATTCACGGAATTCCGTTTCAATAGTGGACACGTTTGTAATAAAACCTAATTAAAATAATGCCAGTCTTTTGTCGTCGGTGGTTTTGAAATTTCAACAAAATTGTGTATGTCAAACGGATTAAAAAATCTTTGTTTACCTGAACGAAATGTTTATTAAAAAGTTAAGAAATCAAAATATGCAAGTCGATATTATTATTTCGTATTTCCATGAGGAATATGCACATTGCGAATTGTCCCATCTTTTTGGGACCCCTTGTATATTACTTTTCACTGACATATTTACCTATTTATTTATACACTTACGAACGTATCGTATGCATACTCTCCGTAACAACATCACAAATAAGTCCGAATATTTTTCTCAGAATACTTAATTTTTCTTATGCTTACTCAACTAAAATAAAATTTCAAACCACTGCGGACAGCGTATCGTTATGTCAACACAAGCACAAAGCATCGAAGTAACAATAGGGTAAAAGACGATCTCAAAATTGGTGTCTTCGTTTTTTTTCCCGCGATATCGACTCACCTAAACTCGATTACACGAGACGTAATCATTCGCCGCGGTTAATCGTCTTACGGTCTGCGCGCGCGTCGCCACCGGCGGTCTTCAGCCGCATTTTTCAACGTTCTAATATCGTCGTCCTGATCGCAATTCTTTCTAATAACGTCGAGTTGCGCTCGGCCACGAGGCAGCCGTGAAAGAACGCGGAAGCGGGCGGCGGTGAACGCTCCCGTGAAATCCTCTTATCTCGTTAAGCTGTAATACCGTGCGCGTAAGAGCCGCTCGTGCCTGGAATGTCGAAGAAAATGCAGTTTCCGGCTGTCTTTTCCGTGCATTTTCGTTGCGGGCCGTATCCTCCCCTTCCCCCCGTTGTTCGACAACCGGAAACAACGCTCTTTGGGATTCTTTCCGGTCCGCTCGACTCGCGTGGCGCCCTCGTTATTTTCGTTGTTAAATTCTGCGACGGTTCGAGGGAATTCTCCTCGCCGTTGCTCTCGAATATCACGGGTGGAATGTATTCCGTGAGAAATAGGGCGGCCTGTGAACCGCAAACCGAGTTTCATGGAACCAGTGATTTTAATACGTACAGGAAGAATCAAAAGTGAGTATAACCAACTCTGTTTTTACACGATAGATACGTTTCGGAAGAATTTAAGTGTTAAATCAAAATCGTGTAGAAAAAGTTTCGTATAAAAACATAATTTGGTGTATATACTTAGAAAGTATGGAAGTTATTCATATTTATTTCTCTCAATTTAGAATCTAATATTTCGCACGGATATGCTCTACTAAATCACTGTACACTGCTTTTATCTACCAACTATACCATTAATACTTGTTTCGTGGCCTTTTAAAATACATAGCGAGAAACTAAATTGGAACAAATAAAACCATGCATTTAGCGCAGATTCGCAGAAATTGCAATTTCGCAACTTTACTAATGAGATAACGTCATTATTATACCATGTATAGTAAATAAAATGTAGGAACACTGTTGTGTCTGATTTTAATTTAGACGTATTTTAGCAAGATTACATTATTTATTCAAATAATATCCCAGGGAATTTAATTATTCAAAATAAAGGGGGATAGCAATTAAGGATATGAATATATTCATTTTCGAATGCAGTTCTCTATGTCATAGTTTGCCATCTTTCATCTATTTACTACACGCAATTATAGAAATTCTGTAATATCATATTTGATCATTTATACAAAAGACCTACCGTAGATTAAACTCTGGTAAATTAGTGGTAGTTTAAAAATTTTTCTATTGACTGCTAATATTTACGTGTTCTGAATGCGAGTCATGTATGTAATGGTAGAAATAAGCAAACTTCCACAATTACCACGAGAAATCTCACAAATAATGCTCTTTTGGAACAAAAAACGTTCACTCATACCCTCACACTAACTTCAACTGATTAATTTTTTTATCGTAACATGAACTAGAATATTAATACTGTCTGTTAGTTTTCATTACGACTAAATCGGGCCTCAGAACTTCGTGTTATAGACGAATGGAAAAGTATCACGTGGTGTACTAGTATATTACGAACTAAATGTGAGCAAAGTTTACCCTGTATGAAGAATTCAACAGCTATCTCTAAACATTTGTTCAGAGTTTATATAATAAATACTCGAATATTTGATGTAATAAATACTCGAATATTTAATATAATAAATACTCGAAAACGTGGTTCTCAGTGAACATTCGGACAATGTTCAATTGTAATTCGACGTTTTCGAATGCGTCTTCTGCATGCTATACCCACACTAACGCGATGTGAATGATTAGTTCCGGTCGTGCCGCCGGCTCCGAATGCGGAAAAACACGTGAACATTGAAGTTTACAATTGCATTTTGATCGATAACCGGTTGCGGTTTACAATTAAGGGCTGTCGATTGAAAGCGGTTGAAATGGTTGAACCGATTAAATGGGATTTCGCGGTCTCGTGATAAAATCGCGGTTTTCGGCTATTTTCACGTCGGCATCGATGGGAACGATAATCGGTCCGGTATGACTTCCGGCAATTACCTGCCACGGAATGGAAAAACTGATCGATCCCTGGAGAACCGTTCGTGCGTGATCTCGGAATCATCCCATATTAAACGCTGGAAAAAAAGATTAATCTTCTTTGGTAATATTTTAACCGTACCACTATTCTGAAATTTGCGCGATAAAATACTTTTACGGTGTGCAACTGGAATTGGTTGTATTATCATGAAATCATGAAACGAGTAATTGAAATTCAGATTTTAGTATTTATTGTTAACCCTCAAGTACGTTGGCCAAATCCGGCCTATACAACTACACCCGCGTTTGTACCCCGCCCAGTGTAGTTAAGGGTTAAATTTATATTCGAAGAAGTAAAATTGGGTAATATGTAGTGTTTTTTTGATTTTAGTTTTTCTTAACTGTGGCACTGTCAGCCTGGAATGTATACTAAATTTAATTTTATACTACATTAATACAATATATGTATAATACAGTACATATAACACATTATAATATGAAGTGTATAGCAACTTACAGCCTGCAGATGTTTATGCACTTATAGCATTACCTAGTCCGCAAAACATGGTGAAACAAAGACTTTAAAAAATTTCGTAGTATTATTTTATTATTGATGACATATTAAAAATCTTAACGTAGGAGATCAAATTTTGTTGAATTTTTATTTTGATATATTAGTATCCAAAATTGTCATTTTGCATAAACATCCGTAGTCTAATGACTTAACACCAGAATGACCAAAGCAATCAAAATGCATTTTCTCAGGTACATTAAAATTTGTATTGCAATATCTAAGTGAAGAAATGAGTTAATTTATAAATTTGTATATTTTCAAAAGTTTGTAATATTTATTGGTTCAATACAGATAGATTTACGTTTACCGTATGTAGTTCCAGTGTTAAAGGTCATCTTGAATCCCCACAATAGCATTCGTACCATCTCAATTATTGTAAAATAAGAAGTCTGAAATCGGTCGTTTCGACTCCATTTGAGTTCCAGTGGTACGAAGGTATTTTATTTCGTTGTAATTTTGCTTTTACCTTATTTAATGTTGACTTTACATTTCGATTTGGCACAAATTGCCTCTCGTTCAAACGGCTTACCAAACACATTAAAGCTAATGAAATAACACGAAGCGTATTCAACAGTTCATTCGGTGGCCCTTGCAGCACCAAATGCGTGACGCATCAAAGACCCACGAATCAAAGCAAATAGAATTAATTTCCAATTAGCCCCTGAATGCGAGCGGGGACCGTTTCACAATTATTTTCGCGCGGCCGCTAATAACAATCAATCGGTTATCGGCGGTTATCGGAGAATCCGTTTGCATAATATGGTAACTAATATAATTGAACGTTGAATCTCGCCCCCTGTCGTGCTTACATTCCTCACCATTCACATGCAATCGTGTTCTACGGTTTGTACTTTACTCTTCTTTAATTCCTGTGCCTTTTATATCTCACATTAATATATTTATTCATAAATATACCTAAATAAGGTATATTTTTTCATTTTAAGTATTGCTTTCCTGAAAATCGAATTTGAAAATTAACACATGTATTCATCATATGA